GGGTTTCTCCATGTTGATCAGGCTGGTCCCGAACTTCAGGTGATCTGCTGACCTTGGCCTCCCAAAGTGCTGAGATTACAGGCGTGAGCCACCACACCCAGCCACATATATGGTATTTAATGTTTTTCAACTTTATATTATGAAGATTTTCAAACAGGAAAGTTGAAAGATCAGTGTAATAAACACTTATCTTCTAAAATATTACTATTCTGCCATCTTTACTTGGTCTCTGTATGTATATAAACACTCATGTCTTGCCAGCCATTCGAAGGAAAGTTACAGACGTGACAGTTCGTTTCTACGTACTTCACATGCATTTCCTGTGAATGAGGACATTCATCTATATAATACTATTATCCAGTTTAAGAAAAGTAATAATTTTACAGTATTATCTAATATCCAGTCCATATGTCAAGATGTCTTTTTCATTTTTAGAGATGGGATCTTGTGTTTCCCAGGCTGATCTGAATCTCCTGGGTTCAAGCGATCCTTCCACCTCAGCCTCCCAAAGTGCTGGGATTACAGGTGTGAGCCACCATACCTAGCTCTCAGAATGTCTTTGATAGATGTTTTATTCCCTATCCAGGATCCAGAGTTCACTCATTGCATTTAATCATTATCTCTTTAGTGCCTTTTACTCTAGAAGGGTTCCTCTTTCCCCTTGCCCCTCTTCCCCACTGCTCACTTTAAAAATGGCATTGGGCCAGGCTCAGTGGTTCACGCCAGCACTTTGGGAGATGGAGGCAGGCAGATCACCTGAGGTCTGGAGTTCGAGACCAGCCTGGCCAACATGGTGAAACCCCGTCTCTACTAAAAATACAAAAATTAGCCAGGCATGGTGGTGTGCGCCTGTAATCCCAGCATTTGGGAGGGTGAGGCACGAGAATCGCTTGAACCTGGGAGGCGGAGGTTGCAGTGAGCTGAGTACAGTCCAACCTGGGCAACAGAGCGAGACTGTGTCTTAATAATTAATAAATAAGTAAATAAGGCATTGACTTTTCTTCCTTAAAATTTTAAAAATTTATGCATAATGCATAGTTACAGGGTATGTGTGATTAATTTAATACATTCATATGATTTATAAATTCAGACGAGATCGGGTGCATTCACGATGGTATGGCCATAGACATGATTTGTAAAATTCAAATCGGTGTTTTTGGAATATCCATCACCTTAAATAATTGTCATTTCTTTATGGTAGAAACATTCAGATTATTCTCTTCCAGCTATTTTGGAATGTACAGTGGATTCCTGTAAGCTATAGTCACCCTACCAATCTCCCATTAGGTCTTATTTCTTCTGTCAGACCATATATTTGTACCTATCAATCAACTTCTCTCCATCCCCCTTTGTCCCCTAGGCAGCTGGGTATAGAATGTCACACTTTCTGAATTTTTGTTTGAGTTTTAGAACTTAGTGATTTGGGCCTCTGAGGCTTTTCAAACTTGAGTAGAAGCAGATTTTGGAGGTACTATTTTATTATTACCTTAATTCAAGGCACTGTACTCAGAGCTTCAACATCATTGTCTTATTCTAACCCTGTGAGATTTTTATTGTCCGTTTCCCAATGAGGAACCTGAACTTGAGTGAGTCGGCAGGGATACAGTTTTACTGAAATCAGAACTAGGGCTCTTAAAACCACTGTCTTCTCCACATTCAGTTGTGATTGTCCTGCGTCCACATTGAGTTTGTTTTGACAACAGGTGGTCAAGAGGCCCCGGAAGGTCCAGGTGGCCCCGCTTCAGGCCAGCCCTCCCCTGGATCAGGATGACCGGGCTTTTGAGGTGATGGACGAGTTTGACGGCAGAAGTTTCCGGAGTGGGTACAGCGAGAGGAGCCGGCTGAGCAGCCATAGGGGGCGCAGCCGCAGCTGGGAGGACAGCCCGGAAAGGGGGCGTCCCCACGAGCGAGCTCG